CATCCATCCATCCATCCATCCATCCATCCATCCATCCATCCATCCATCCATCCATCCATCCATCCATCTATCTACCCATTCATCCATCCATCCATCCATCTATCCATCCATCCATCTACCCATTTATTCATTCATCCATCCCATCCTGTCCCCATCCATCCACCCATTAATCTGTCCACCCAATCCAATTCCACATATTCATCTATATATCAATATATCTGCCATATTCATCCTCCAATCCCATTCCAACCTTTTCATCCATCCTTCCATCCTATCCCACCTATCCATTTATTTTATCAAATCATTACCTATAGCCCCATTGTGTTCCTGGTCTTCATCTGAACACTACAAAAACAGAACAAAAAAAAAACATGAAAGAATGTAAGTAAAAGCTGCAGTGGTACTACCTCTATAGTACAGCTCACAAATGTCGTCATAAAAATGAAGACAAATGGAAAACTCAGACAAACAAACTTCATTTTCCGCAGATAATTTTCCTAGCCAATCAGAGTAGTAAAATTTAAGTAAAAATAATAAAATCTGTTTGTAGAGCAGTTTTCGTATGACTGTGAAAACCTCCCGGCACAAACACAGTCGTCACACAGCAAGTGATACGCCAGACCAATCACACTGCTTGAAAATTTACTCTTTATCCAATCAAATACCCGGAACACGGCATAAACACAGCGCAGACACGGTCAAGCCAAGGTCACGGCACTGTCAGACCAATCACATTGCGTGAGAAATAATTCAGCCAATCAAAATTCTAGAAACCATCACAGTCACGGCAAGGTATGCATACGGCACTGAGCTTTTCACAGTCATACAAAAACTGTACTATAACACCCAACACAGTTAAACAGAATGCAATGTTTGTCTGAGTCTTAAAGATATTTTTAGAATCTGCGTGAAGCACTATTATAAGCGGACATTTTTGGGTTCTTGTTTTGTTTTGCAGTATACAAAAGAATATACTCACTGGATCAAGGTCTAAGGGAGGCAGAGAACGTGGTTGACTTCTAAGCTGTGGGTATAAACTTGGTGAACCAGATGAAACCAGTTGACAACCTGTCTGAGGAATGAAATGAAATCTAATGTAAATAAAATATAAATGTCGTGTTGTGCCGTGCCGTGCCATACGATTCCATCCATTATGAAGTACAACCTGAATAGCAGTGAAGCTTGTGATGGATTAAAGCTTAGAGATTTAAACTAGAAGGTGGGTGGTTGGTAAACTTCCTTTATTTCTCAATTGACACAGATTTTTTTTGTTATAACCCTCATTACAAATGCAAGGTCAATATATAGTTAGTTTTTAACCCAGTTAATAACTATATATAGACTATGCATTTATAATGAGCAACATTTGTTAGAAAACCTTCTCAATTGATAAATAAAATACTTAATTACCTTGAACGTCGGCAATAATCCTATACATGTGGCTTATTGCCTCCGTTCGAGGTAATTAACTCTTACACAGTGCTCATTGCCACCCAAAAAGCTGGGGTATTTGGAGGGAAACCAAAATGTGTTAGTATTTAATACTATCAGTTAATATTGAGTTAAACTTGTCTCAAGACTCACTTGATGTTGGATGAGGTCTTGGGCTTTGACGAGCCCTCCACAGAATTCACAAGGAAGAACTGTTTCATCAAGATCTAGGTTCACATAAAGAAAGAAAATTTAAAAAGTCTCAAATTGATAATATTTTTAGGTCTTTACCTTTCTATCATCAAATTTACAATTAACGGTCTGTTTAGTGACTTTTTAGTTACCAAAGGTTGTGTTACGACATGCAATATTCCTTGAAACTTGTCTTGCAGTTTCATTGCAAACGAAGATCATGCACAAAAATTGCCTAAAGTAACATACCAAAAACTAGTCTTATAAGCTGGTTGACGCATTGCTACAATCATTGAAAAAGCTAGAATCAAGCTAGCTAATTTTTGCAATAATAGCCCAATTCTGAGATATGATTCGCTTGTCACACATCAAGGTTTCAATGTAAGGCTCTATTGCAAAGTGTCTTGCAACATTTCTTACAATAGCTAATAACATTTCATTGTGATGATGATGATGGTGGTGGTGATGATGATGGTGGTGGGGGTGATGATGATGGTGGTGATGGTGATGATGATGATGGTAGTGATGATTTTGATGATGATGGTAATGGTTTTATCCATGTAAAGTGATGATAATGTTGTTGTTGATGATAATTATGATGATGGGGATGATGGTAGTGATGTTGATGATGATGATGATGACGTATGGTGCTGATAATAATGTTCATGATGATGATGTTGATGATGGTGATGATGATGATGTAGGATAATTTATGTTGATACTGATGATGTTGATGATAATAATGACGATGATGATGATGATGATGATGGTGATGAAGCAATGTTATTAACGCACCTGCACCCTGATCATCCTCTATGTAATTATAATGATTATCTTCCAAATGATTCATTCCAGGTAGTGGTTCCTTGAATCCAGCATAGCTCTCTCCACCAGTAAAATCTCCATCATCTTCACATGCTAGTAATGCAGCCATCAGCTCATCTTTCTCAAGATCATTCCTCTGAGCAGCACTGTCATCATTCCTGACTCGATTATCTACAAAATGACTATTTCTTTCTCTTCTTGCCTCTCCCTGCCTTCTGTTATTGGAAGGACCCCTTGCAATGACATTATCTCTTGGCACCACATTAGTTGAGAACATATTTCTATTATCGAAAAATTGGTCCTGTCCAAACCTGTCTCCCACTGGTAATGTCCCAAATCCTGAGGTAAACAAACGCTGAAATACTTCATGCCCTCCTGCTAAAGCTATACCACCAAAATCTCCAAAACCAAAGTTTTGCACCATTTGTTCAGGGCGGTTTCTGCTAAGCCCATTTTGTAGACTGCTTGGCCCATTAGTAGAATTATTGTTCGCAATTGGTTCATTGCTATTTAATGTACAATCACTCTGTAAATGTTCTTCTAGGTCACGATATTGAATGCGGCAGTTGCACTTTTCACATAATTCAGTCCTACTACCACAGTATTCCTTATGGGAATCAATTTCTCCAACAGTACACTCTAGCTCGCAGTATGGACAGGTAGTTTTACGGCTCTTGCAGTCATCCTCCTTACAAGGAAAAAAAGAGGATTTTTAGTTTCATAGATTGATAGTAGAACAGAATTATAATAAAGCAGATATTAAGTAAAATGATATAGCAATACCATGTATGCCCACTTAAAATAACAAAAAAAATTTGTACCTTGTGCTCATCTAAGCGCATCTTTTCCATGGATTCTCCGCATTCACACTTGACCTTAAAACAAAACGAAAAAATTCAAAAAGGCTCAAGTTTTTATCATTGATATATCTTACAGAAAACTTAGATGTTAACAACAAGTTCTGGGGAAAATACCTTGGGGTCAATCAAAGTCAGTGCATGGCTAACTCAAAGATCAAACCTTTAAACAAGTTTTGGGCTGATCTAGGTCAGGGCATGACTATTCACAGAACGACTCCTGAAACAACCTCTGGGCTAATCACAGTCAAGATCAGGGCACAACTAACTCGCAGATCAAATTGGAATTTAATGTGTTTTGTAGAGAGAGGAAAACCAGAGAACCTGGAGAAAAACCCTTGAAAGAAAAGAAACCAAACAAACTCTTCTCACATGTGGTTCCAAGTCCATGCAGGAAACAAATCTGAAGCCCCAGAGGTGAGAGGTGAGTGCATCGATGCTACCATACCCATAACTTCCCATATGGAATGAAACATCATGATTCAATATAATACTGATTGTGCTCTCGTTCCTGTTCCTGATTGGCTTCTGCCTTTACACTGCCTTATGATTGGTTTAAAAGTTAGAGTTCCATGGTAATATTCCCACTCAACAAAACTGTTCTGCTTGTCATCATCAGTAAAAAAAACTTATCAAACCGATATAGAATAAATAGTAGTATCATTTATAAAACTATTTCCATTTACCTTAGCATGGTACTCTTCAATATGTTCGTCTAATTGGGACTTGGGAACTGGCTCTTGACACCGATCACACCGAGTGATATTGCGTTGACAATGATGCTCATGCACCATAAAGTTATTTGCAGGAATATTTTTCTTACTGGAATTACAAAATATTTGAAATAAAACTCACATGCTGATTAATGTGTTTATATCAGAGGACAGAGTCGAGCAAAATTGTTCCAAAATATTCTATAAAAGCAATACTAAAATACAGAAACATCACCATTTTTAATATTGAATGCACTATAGAAGTATGTATAAAGAGAAGTTTTTGAGACTTTGACAACTTAACTGTTTAGTGAATATAGAGAAAGGCTCTTGATAGTATTTTTACTGTTCCAATAAATGCCAATAATGTTCTATTTTTCGTTTCCCGAAAGTGTAAAAATTTCAATTGATACTTCAAGTCTTCAAGTGTTTTTAGATTGACCCTGTTTTGCCTTTTTTCACGTGTAACAACATTACTAGTTGTACAAATTTGACAAATAAAAATGACTTAAATATTTCAAATTCTTACATGTCTAATAAAGTAAAACTTTAAAGATATATAAATGATGATATGGATTGATAGAAGAGGGGGAAATGCTTTTGGTAGCAGTACATGTTATATAAATAAAACATCAGGTTAACACGTACAATGAAAGTTAAGAGTAATCTTATGAAATTCTGTTTTAACCTTGCCAACCCGACATGAAGACAAACAAACAGTTATAAACGCGCGAATGTTTGGGGTAATTTTGAAGATATTTTGAGTTTTGACTGCATCTGAAGTACGAAGTCTAATTCGTCTATGTCTTGAGGGGGAAATAATGATCTTTTAGGAAGATATAAGAAGAGATATTAAAGCAAGAAAGCCGACATACCAGTTGCTACAAAACTTGGTTTCTTGTTCTTCCTCCATCTTGAAAAGATATCGAAATCCTTCAAAGAAGCGGTTTGTAAAGTCTTCTTTGACTCTTGATAGATTGATCTGTAATCTTAAGATTAGAGGGCAACTTCCTAGGGATTTTTTTAGGTTAACAGAAGCAGAAGGGTTTTTTTATCTCGTCACATTCCAGAATGGACCATGACCTGATTTTACTCCCATTTTAGTTTCACTTTTAACCGCTCGCTGGGGTTCCTGTGGTCTTCATTAAGTAATGACGTCACCAAACTGATAAGGGGGAAATGCCCAATCTCCCAATATCTCCCTACAGCTAGCTAGCGACAAGCTAGCGACAGTCTTTGGTAATCTACTCTTGTACAAATAAAGGAAAAATCTTAACCAAGCATTGTAAATTTTATAAGGCAATACTAAAGAACAAAATATTGATTTCTGAAGTATTTGGAATATCATGAAAACTAAGAGACAAGCACGATGACCGGGATTCCTGTGGTTTTTTGGCCGTCCTTTGTCCTACAAGCCATAATAAAAAGTAGGGATTTTTTTCAGTTGACTAGGAAATGAAAGATCATCATCTCACGCTATCTAATGCTGGACAGGGCTTCCTGTGGTTAGGTGACAACCAATCTTCCTCCCCTCCCCTCTCCCACGAAATAATTTCGCCATTCCAGGCTGTCTTCAAAGAAGAAAAGAAATAAAGAAGGAAAGAGAAAGAAAAAAGAAAGAGATTGAAAATCTCTATTTCATCGTGAACCAATAAATATTTTTTATGTTTTTTTTAATTAGTTTTGAGACATATCAAAGAAAGTTTTTTTTTATCTTATATTTTCTTTCAAAGCAACGAATTTTAGAACAACAGTTCTTAGCAAGCATCATTATTCGTTATTATTGCCATGTAACAAGCTTTTAAAAACTGTTTACACTAACGTTTATTCTTCAGCCAACTTAGAAAGTTTCTTTACCATTCCCTAACCCCACCTTAAGGTATTTCACAGCATAAAAATATTTTTAAAAATCCTCAAAAAACTCAACTTAGTTTCTGTACGTGAAATTATGTTGAGGTTGTAAAACTACAATGGCATTTCGACAATTATAATCTTATGGTGGTTTCAATGATTTCCGCTATTATTCCAGCTCAAATTACATGAATCGTTGCACTGAGAAGTTAAAATATATATTCAATTCCCAGAGTTCTGCTAAAAATATTTAGTCTATGACCTTTTAAATAGACAAAAACTACAAGCCATAGAGATAAAAACTTTGTACCTGGGATCCACTACCGAATATTAATAGTATTTACAGATAATTAAATTAAGCTGCCAAAAGCAAGCCAGACATGCGTTCAAAATGATGCAAGTCTTTTCTACTTTTGAGAAATATCAGAAAGCTGGAAATGCCGAGTTAATTTTAAATTAATTTGTCCAAATTAATCGAACACTTCACCAAACACACATTTAAGTTTAGTCTATGAGTTCTGCTTTCAATTAAGATTAGTGAATTCGTAAGCTGAAAATCGACGGATCGCTATCCCATCTCTGTGAACTCGTAGTCTGAATATTTTGCTGTTGAGAGTCCACTGTTTTTGAACGTGATTTGGCCAGCTGTGTAAATTCGTCAAAATCATCATCATTATTTGTTGTAGAGTCTCCAGGATCGTTTGCAACAGCAGTATTTACTATGGGAGCCGTGTTGCTTCGTATTCGCGAGTTCTGAAGGCTTTCCAACCTCCTGTCTACAGGACGGAGGAAATTTTGTTCTCTGGTTGTTGGAGTAATGTTTCTTACGCCATTTTTCGGAGAGCACGGCCTGTTTACTTCACCTTGCTCGTTTGCATAATTCCATTCATTATTATTATTGGTCTCTGCACGCAATCCTGCGATGCCCTCTTCTTCGTCGCTGTAGTTTCCATCCCTCGCGAACGACCGTAAGCTTGCTTCACGTATTGACGTCGCCTGGTAACTCTCATAGTTCATTTTAAAAGCAAGAGAAACCGCTTTGAATACTTCTTGTGCCTTGGATTTTGAGTTACAGAGAAAGACGTACGCTTTGAAAGGCTTTTCTTTACGTTCTCGAGCCACAAATACGAAGGCTTTCTCGTAAGTACCATCCACGTTGCAGTACGTCACCTTAGAGATCGGAAAACTGGCCACCAACGCTCCAGTGTTCTCCTCCATGACGCTCAAATTTTTATGAGTAACTGTCATTTTCATTTTTTTAGATTTCTTGTCATCAGATTTCGTCTTGTTTTGAGTCATAACTTGAGCTACGGGGACATCTGTTTTCTCGCTGCCTGTACCACATCCACTGCTTACCTCAATAGATCCCATGTACTGGACGGAAAATTCTACTCCCGCGATAATCTTATCTTCGTCGTCCACTCCATCTTGATTGAGCTGCTGATGGCCTCCTTTTCGAGCGAAATTCGGGCTTTTAGAGAACATTTCTGGCCAGAAAATGAATGATTTAGTCTGTGAGAAAAATAGCACGTCTTTCGTTGATGTTTGGGTACAAATGCGAGGAGGGTAAGTGATACCATTAGTTCATAATATTGACCCAGTGACCTTCAAACAATGGGAAAAAGTCTTCCGATGATCCGAAATAGACCCGACAGCCATCGATTTTTTACGAGAAAATTCAAGTGCGGATACACTTGCCTCTTGATTGTTCTAAGACTGCTATGTCTGGTCAAGACGTTTCTAACTATAGACGAGTTATTTCACGTTCTTTTCATTACTTTTTTTGATAATTATGATTACGTAATGTTTAATTTGAGACAGTCGCTAAACATTCCTTTGGTGTTGAAGTCCTCAAATCCTGGCGGCGCACACGTGGTCTTTCGCCTCCCAAAGCAGTTCTCTACAGCTAACCATTTAAACATTAATTTAGTCGAACTCATGAAACAACCTCTAGTCTGATTAAAGTCAGGGCACGGTTAATTCACAGTTAGTACCCTGAAATAATTGGAATTTAGCGTGTTTGATTGCAAACAAACAGACACTAAAACTCTACTCAAAAATCAAGCATATCCGATACTAGAGAGGTGCGAGTGAACAACTATGCACACCTAGTTTTTGGCTTCAGTTTTCTTTTTGCCCAACCGGATATACCTTCTCTTTTTACCAATGACGTCTATCAAGTCTTGATGGTTCAAGGCGCACTCGACACACGAGCCGGATAAATTATAAAACAAACTGCCTTTGGCGAAATCGTGGATACTACCCTGTGTGCTTTCTGTGCATTTTGTTGATATAATACCTTCGTAATTACACCGAGATCAAAGTAATTCGCTCCATTAAAAGTTGTACTTTTTGTTCTTGTATTCGGATTTGTATTTGTGTATTGCACCTCTGGGTCATTGTACTTTTACAGCTTGTTCACAGGATACGCCTTGATTGACATTATCCGGTCACTGGTGGCGGTGAGTTGAGGCTAAGGTTTACCGAGATATCACGCAAACTACTCTGCACAAGGTTTTGGGATGCGAATGTATGGCCGAGTGCCAATGTGTTATCCCTACTTGATATGCATCTTTTTATCGAAAACCTCATGAAGTGATCATGACCACCTTGGTTTGGCAGAGAGAGAAACCTTCAAGGGAGAGACCTAACAAACTCTACTCTCAAGTAGCCGAGTCCAGGAACTGAACCTGATAGCCCAGAAACATCGCCACTCCTAATCCATTTGTTTTTTTATTTATTTCAATTATAGTTTATTATTAATATCTTGAATTACAAAAATATTTGAACATATCCGATAATTTATGTACATATATTTATATTAACTTGTATTTTAATTACATGAATTTATTTTAAAATATTATTAGAAAAATTTTCTTTCGCAATATTCTGATTCAAAATACTCAATTCTTTTTTAAGGGAAGTTTTAGCAAAATCAATTTTCCAATTTTTCCCCGGCGTTAGATGACTATTATAACTGAGTGAAACCACAGGAAACCCGCCTGAAGAGACTGCTCAGCTATGTATCAAGTCAAGCTAGACAGTCATTGAAAATCAATCAAGACAACGGCAAATGGATCAGCTGTTTGGCATAGTGGCCCATTTGCGCATGCTTAGTATGAATAAAACACTGCACAAAATGTTTGACTGCAGGCTCATACTTGATTAATATATAGAATTTTTTCCTTTTTTTTTTGAATTGAAACATATATATATTTAAATATCGTATAAAAAATATCGATTCTTTTGTTTGAAATCATTTCACCAATCAATGGTTATTACGCATGGTGTAATTTTAAATGAGAGCTAAGCGTACATGAAAGAAATCGCGTTCGACACTCGAGATGTCGCATGCAACAGAGTTAATCTGGTGAACGTAACACGTAAGTACATACATACCACAGGGTTACCATGATTTAGTTTTCGTCTACTATAGTTTTAGTGTTTCTTTAGTTTTGCATTTGCGCGCTTTTTTCGGTGAGTCCATCGATCGCGTAAAGCAAGCAATATACTTCCTGGTATCCTTTGATGTTTCTTGATTAAATTTTGAATCTCAAGTTGAACCTATTAGAAAATATAGGTATACATAAGTAAAGCATTTTATTTACAAATAATGAAAATTTTTTCCAGAAAATCCGAATGGCAAGTTGAACCTTTGATAGAAAAAATACTTACGAGAAATAGAACGCGCGCCTCTGCAGACTGAAAAAAGGCGGGAATTATCCACTTCCGGTAAATGGTGCGCGCTTCTATCGGAAAAACCGAGAACGCGGGAAAATTGAATACCCAATTCTCAGAAGATGTTGTTTTCCTTTATTTTGTTTTGTTTTAATTTTGTTTTGCTCTTTGTTTGTTTGTTTTTTAATATAAGTTATCAACTTATTCAGGTTACAGCGATTTACTAACCTTGGCAGTTAATTCCTCGCAAGTCAGACTGGGATCATAGATAATGGGATCCCCTATAAATGTCCTTAAAAGATACAAAAAAGATGTTGGTGAGTAGGTGGTGACGGCTTTCTTGCAGCCTACCTCGCTTTTGCTTGTTTGTGGACAGTGAGAGATACTGACTGCATGCTCAATAAGCCCTTTTAGCTTGTGCGTAATGTTTTCCCATTTCATACCACGTGTCATTCCCTAGAGTATTATTTCTTTGTTTAACGGTTGTGCRTGAGAAGACATATAAATATGGATTTAAGAAAAAGGATTTCTAGTGATGACAAACCTCATCTTGACAGGAAATCCTCCATACAAAGGTACGAGGGGAAGTTTCGTCCATTCATAGAGCTTTCGAAAAAATCCTTGGATGAAAAGAAAAAAGAGTTTATAATACCTGATAATGGTTGGCGCAATAGTCTACTATTACAATTGATAATTGATTGATTGGTTAATAGATGTGTAGATGGATAAAAGAGTAAATGGATACATGGGAATATATGTGGAGAAACGAACAAATGGATAGATAGAACAAATGAACATATGTAAGAAAAGACAAAAGGATGCATCCATCTCTCCCTTCCTCTCTTCTTCCTTTACCCACCCATCAATCTATCCATATTTTTTTTCTTTCCTCCACTTTTATTCCAATTTATCCATTTACATCTTTATCCATCTACCAACCTAAATGGTTGGATGGACATGTGTACGAAAGGACAAAATGATGGAAGGTTTGTAAAACGGAGGAGGATACGCTTTGTCAAACAATGAAGAGTGTCTGGACAAAATATTGACTTCAAATCCCACATTAACAAAAGATAGATGTACACTAGAATGTGTTCAAGGGAATATAAATTAAGAGAAGGATCGAATTCCCGCGCCCCATCATGAGCACTCTTTGATGCTATTTTTAGAATCTTTAAAAACGTGAGCAAACAGCGTAGAACGCGACAGCTGCAAACGGTGCCTAAGATGGTTACAAGCATGGATACCAGAGATTCCTTCTCTTAGTTCATTTTCCCTAGGTTACATCACAACTAACTTATCCAACTCAGTACTTATACGTACCTCGACCCGTTCGGACTGATCGTATTGCTTCTCTTACGTTCTGCGTAAATACTGGATAAATGGGCTGAGGTAAAATCATAAATACTGATGAATACTAGTGTAAGACTATGGAACGCAAGGGATCTCTGGTCTGTTGAGCGACTCGTTATATTGAATCTCGTCTTAGACGTTTATACAAGTTGAGTGTCAGGTCTAACTACACAAACTAGAGCAGAGTCAGGTTGACCAGAAGGACTTTTCTTAGTCGGTGTGGCTGTCAGTCGGGATTCCTTACTCGGTCACTGTCCTTACTTAGGTCTGTACCTCCCAGTACTACCCGAACTACAACCTTAGCCTTGTTCACAACTAAGTACAAGATTGAATGCACAGAAATAGTTAAATTGCTCGTCTTATATAACCAGGTAATCTAATCTGAAATTCTTTTTACATCACGTATCTAGACGAGTTCAACCTTGGTGGTTTGAATGTTAATTTGAAAAAGGTTTGTAGAACAATAAACTACAAGTAGATCCCCAAGTCAAAACAGTCTCGGTCACTAAAGTATACATGTTAACTTGCAGAATCGTATACAAAAGCATTATTTATGTGAACTTCCTAAAATTCTGTTGCATAACACTAGTAAAGTTCGGCACAGTGACCGTGATCGGGCATGTAACCCACGTCACAACAGCGTAATGTAAGAATTAATAGACAATTTGTTCAAGGTTGCGTTCGCATCCAATCTTGAAGGGCCACAAAAATGAATAACTGAATGACGGAAATTCAGTCAAATTGAGAAGGCAGTTTTATATTTAAAGAGGAGAATAATCGATTTTGAATTCTTATCGAAAAATGTATGTTGATAAAATCATAGAAATGTATGTTGATAAAATCATAAAGCTCCTGTTCTGGTATCGTGGCCCGTCAAGTTTCTTAGGCCCCGTCCACACGTATCCGCAAATTTGTGTATCCGCAAATTTTTTTTTGCGGATACGGGTTGCGTCCACACGTGTCCGGAAATTTTTGTGTCCGTATCCGCAAATTTTACGAAAACGGATACTTGTGGACGGTGAAAACGATTCGAATACGCTGCGTGTGGACGCAAACATTTTCGTATCCGCAAAAAATAATTTGCGGATACACAAATTTGCGGATACGTGTGGACGGGGCCTTAATAAATTTCGATGAGTGCGCGCGCAACCTTGAGAAAAAGGTATATTTATGAGGAATAAGAGGTAGCGAACTTTTTTAAAGACATGCTGGGCTACCTGTGGAATTTCTGAAACTCAAAATAAAATTAACTTTAGTTACTTACTACTCCTGCTGCCATGGCAACCTTGGCAAATCCTTTCCTGGAATTCCAAATCATACCATAATATTCATCTGAAAATAATGCCTCTCTAACACCCCCAGGGGATATGGCTAATAGATCACCATTCTGTAAAGGAAAAACGTAAGATGTTAGGCTTAGTGGACATGCTACTGTTATCGTAGCCTGATAAATACATACAGCCGTTTCTGTAAGAGTTTTGTGGTTTGATCAAATACTGTAAGACAATGGGAAGGCATTTCAATGTTACGGCATGTCGTGCCGTGTACGTGCTGCAAGTCAGTACCGTACGTTTCCTATACTCATACGATAACCATACGTGCTGTAAGCAGGCCAATGGGTATTGAAAGGAGAGGTGACTTATTGCTACGAGCGCTTGCTAAGTAAGGCTTTTCTTCCCCCGCCGGTGGCAGCCATAATAATACCTTTAATATCTCTATACACTGTTCTCTTGTTCGACCTTCCACTGCACCAACAACTTCCAATAGTATTTGAAAACCTAGTGGGACAGGGGGGAAATGTGCTTTAGATTCCAACGAAAGTACACATTTATACTAAAAAGGCGTTTCAAGGCAGCCGTGAAGTGGGGCAAGAACAAATGTGATTGTTCTGCAACAAATTAAAAAAAATTCCATTGTTTTGTCCCACAAAATCGGAGAAGCCCTCAGCACTTACCTGGGATATGAAAAAGAAAGGTTGCGACTACATTACGGAGGCGTCTTTTCTTGCAGATTAACAGCCTGGCCATGATGTAGTACATGTCGATGGGCATAGCCCCATGGTAATAAATCAGAAGACCTGGACCGTTATCTGGGAGCTTGGTGATGCCATGTATCTCATAACCTGTAAGACAGCATGTAGCATAATCATTACAGACATGCGCCTACTTTCATAACTACGCGATCAACATAACCCAAACTTTTCAGTTCTTAGCTCCCGTTAATCAAATAAATACCAATCTCAAACCCAGAACCCTTATTTCTTACTGCGCATGCTCGACGAAGTAATTGCTGCCAGACACGCCTTCACATGTTTTCAGTTCGACCCCCGCGTTGAGCTGCGCCACTGCTGTACTTGGGGTGGTGATTAGCAATGACGAGAACTATTTCGTCGAGCATACGCGTAAATAATAAGGGCTCTGGGTACATAATTGAAAAATTACCAACTTAGACCATGGGAATTTTGATTGTCAGACGCCAAAAACCCAGACGTTTTGAATTTGATATAGCCAAGGGGGGATGAAGACTGTGAAGCACACAGGGATCCCAAGCGCTAAAGGGAAGTATTAAAACGACTGCTGACCCCTTTTCCCACCCCTTCCCTTGACAGTGGACATGTATAATATACAGCTTCTTACTCTACCCTGGTCAGTACAAAGACGCGCGGCACTGAACCAGGTTCTAACCTTTAACTTAACGCACAAAGCATGTCGATACACGTTTTGTGTGAATTGAGTCGTAAATAAAACCGTGGTTTGTTGACAAAGATTTGAATGTCGATGGTCGTTCACAGCAGAAAGAACGTAAAGGAACAAGGAATGTCGCGTAATCATTGTACTTGGGGATAAATTAGGTGATATAAAATTCAACGAGAAAAAAAAGTTCGTCTAATGGACATTAAGAACAAGAAAAACAATGAAATATTTGTCTTTTGAGTCTCTTGCTGCGCAACAGTCCGCTAAAACCAGTTTTACAGGCTTCGTAACAGTCTAATCGATCCCTGTAAAATGTCCTGCTAACTCCTATTGGATGGATGACATGAACCTTCTTTAAGATAACATAGGATTTAGTACAGATTATGACACATGCTCTCTTCGCCCTGTTTTCTTTTTATCTCGATCGAGAATGAAAGGAAAATTTACCAGAATACTAAAGTCAGGTAGAGGTCTGCATTTGGTGACAATGAAAAATGTAGTACCTTTGCGCTTTGTTTCAGCGTAAACCAACTAATGTACCTCATGCTGCGCAAAATACACCATAAAGCTGAAACAGACTTATTGTTGCTTAAACAATAAAAACCTTTCTCAAGTTACTTGAAAAAATCAAAATTATTTACTATTGCTATAGGGCATACATGGCTATATGGTTTTGAATTAGTGGGTCAGTAGTTCTCCTTTCTTGCGCTTAGCACTTGCTTCAATAAGTGCATGAGTGAAGTGTGAAGTGCAATGATCAAATCTGCATTATAATTTACAACTTTCATACTATATTCTCTTATGTAATGGAAGTTAGATTCCCCTGGAAAGAAAGAGGAAATTTTTTAAAAATATGTAGATAAGGTTTCGTGCCACCTTCAAAATGCAAATGATTTGATTGTGCTTTCAGATCTCTATCACGATACCGATAAATTAACCCTCGAAAAGCTTGTCACGACCTGGTCTAACCAAAAATATAAATCCTGATCAAAAAAAGGACACACTAATGTACAAAATAGTGTACAAAAGTCGTTATGGATTACACGTGAAATCACGTGAAAGCCGATATAACATTTGATGACGGTAAGTGACCGTCATCGATCGATTCGTCAATAATTTTTCAAATTCATAACTGAAATCTTGTTATGAAAATAGAATTTGACATTCGCTATTTGGCCTTCTTTGGTGTATGTACCTACCATGCCAATATTCTCCGTGAGCGTCGACAATAGCAGCCAAAACTTGAGTAGCGCCGTCCCAGAAATTCGTCGAATAAGCGTCGAAAATTTGCCTTCGTTTGTGTCGATAAACCCTCAGAAATACCGCACAAGAATATATAGCAATCATAAAAATGAACGGATAGACGAAGACTATGACGATAGGAGATAAAAGAATCACTAGCCAGTCCATTGCAGACAGTTTTGATTATCTGTGAGATGATTGACCTCTCGATCATTATTGTACCTGTTTGTGCAATGTTTTGATCGGCTCAGATCTAAGAGGATACACCGCTGATCACCAGGAACTCATCAAGTGCGACAACCGAAACAAAAATTATATATCTCTATAAATAATAATAAGATCTATTTCCTATAACTGCTTAAGATTTCGCTTTGTCCCAAGTTTTCAAGTGGATAGCGTTTCACTTTATAACCGAACATGAACGGTCAAGAAATAGACGAAACCATCTCCGTAGATAACCTTACGTGGAGCTCGGAGGAGTTTACTTTGAGCGACTTCGTCGACAAGTTTCCTTTACCTCAAATCGTTAAAGTACAAGAAGGATATTATGGCCCTGATGAAGACTCTTGCCTCGGAGCTGACCAGATTTTATTCCTCCACGCTGTAAAACACACCGAAAAAGTACAGGCTCGCGATAGAAGGAAGCGATTTCTTCATATTCCATTGAATTGTTCGCAAAAAATCGAGCTGCGGCCGTCGAACTTGAAGGATGTTTACGAAAGCGTAGGAGAAGTAGCCAAAATCATACATAATTTTCCAAAGTTCGTTCGCGTGACACAGGGATTTTATAGCATGGACGGCGATAATGTGTCCATTAATCCAGGTGATAAGCTGAAGTTATTGAGGATAGTCCCGGGGGAGCAGGATGACTACCTAATTGTCGAAAATCAAGACAGAACTGGGTTTCCAATTCGAATTCCTATTAGTGCTCAAGCGGGGTTTCAACCCTTGGTCGATGGTCGGGAGTACTACCTCAAAGAGGCGACGTCTATGACTCCAATTCCATTCTTCTTCCAGTTTATCGACCCTCCCCAACTTAACGCGACAGGAGAACCCTCCGTCTTCAATTCCACTCTGGGAGTTCTAAGAGTCGAGAAAACTTACCAAGATGCGACAGTGATCTGCACAACGAAGGAAGGAACGAATAGAACTGTCGTCAGCTGTCCAAAACAGCTACAAATCACCGTTGCTGCTGCCAGTGGAGCCCTTATCGGGGATTCAAACTATGTGAGGGTTTGTCGCTTTTTCCACGATGGGGTGAGCTTGAAAAGAATCGAAAACATGGAGGCTTACAATGTTTTTGCATCTCGAGATACCATTAGAGAGTACGTTTATGATGTTCCTAAGGTACCACCATCTCCAACCACCCCGGATGAATTTGTCGTACCAGTAGTACCCAAGCAAAGACACAAGGAAAAAGTAAAGCAAATGAACAGCCTTGAGGACGAAGATGCACTTTCTGAAGATTATGACAGTGATGAGTGTCATGATTATACGTACATTGATGACAAGAAAGTTGAAGGATGGGCAAAGGATAGTTTTGATTATAATAGCTTCAAGCGGAGTTTTGATGGGGAAAGTAGGGATGAGTCTACGGATGAGCCATCCGGTCAGAATGCAGTTGCAAGTTATATAGAGATGGATAAAGCTGAAATCAAAAATGGGATACTTTATCTGGAAAATCCCAAGCCTCCACCTGTAGGTCCCAAACCAGTTATTCCTGGAAAAACACAGGGAAAAAGGGAAAGCACAGTGGATACTGAACATACAGCAAGTGCTGCTCCTTCGTCTACAAAAACTGAGAGAGGCCCAAAGACAAACCCCCTAGGCATTCCTATTAACTCAGATGACTTAAACAGTCTGAATATTGATGGGGTGTCCAGATTTCTTGAACAGCACCGGTTGCCAGAGTTTGTTGAAGCTTTCAAGTACAACCAGATAGATGGTGAAATGTTGGTGTCGCTGGATTTGGATATGATGGAAGCTCTTGGGATGAATCCCTTCCAAAGGAAAAAGCTGAAGAAGTTAGTGGATGGATGGAGACCAAGGGATTGAAATAACGAATAGCACAGGAACCCCAAGTTTATGAGAAATGATTTTATGATATTTTCCCTTATTGGAATATGAAGAAATTAACTTGTAGTTCCAAAATGAAAGCAATTCTGTAGGTATTTTTTTATTTTCTTTATAGAATTTATGGTTGAAAACTTTTTTTTTTTTGCTGCAACCAGGGGACATATAGTTTTGGATCCAGTTTATTGTGGAAACAGAGGGGAGGAAGGTGCCATTATCCACTTCATTTTCAAGTCTCAGCCTCCCAACTTTAGTTGCATACATAGCAGCATAGTTGAGTGGTCATAGTGTAGGTCATCCGGTGGTGCCAGGTTTGAGTCCCACTGTGGCCATTAGCTGAGACTGTATTTGTCCTGATTTCCGATTAGTTCAGAATCAGTTTCTCGATCATGCTTGTAAATAGCCAACTGGTTTGCCTCCTTGCCAGTTCTTAACACGCTTTATGTTTATCTGATCATTTATTTCAGTTTATTAATTGTAGGAGGGCCATAATGAAAACTACTGGGCTACCAGTAATGTATGTCACCCTCATTAAATAAAGTCAATTTATTTTATTTTATTTTTTTATACATACTAGTCTGATAGAATCTAAGCCCTCACTTTATTCTATGGTCCTTTGGACTAATCTACAATTTTGCGAAATATCTGTAGAAAATTAGGCACCAAACGTCTATCCCCTCCAGGGGAAATGCATAGATGTTAATTTCTTAAAATGTATATTATTGAATTATTTGCACTTCATTTAAAGCTATTACAGCTTGATCTCTGCTGAAGGTGTTCAATACACCATTGTTAATTGAATGCAAGATTTTATATGCATGGTTACTCATAAGTCATGCAAAGAGAAATCAAAATATGAAAACAATTTGAAATATTTGAAAGAAAATTTAAGATGAAAAATAGCTGGATATCAGGAATATTATTTAGAATTAAGAAAATTGTTGAGTTTTGTTTTTTTTAATTTTTTAACATAATGCAAAATAATAATAATCTCAACTGTTGCCAGCAATGTCTTTTTCACAACTACCAGAATGCTTTGTAAAATTTTTCACATGAAAATTTTTAACATCTAATGAGAATAGCAAAACGATTAGTGTAGTAAATGTTAAAGAAGAGTATTCTGGTAGTTTTTATTAATGCAATATAATTCAAATAGTGTGTGTAGCTAAATATATTATATCACAGAACAACTTCAACTTCAATTTTTTTTTGGTGAGGACTCAAACTGTCCTCTTTTTACCTATATGAATTTATCAAAAAATATAGAAAAAGTAAATACTGGGTCGATAATGGAATATCCCATGGTAGAGTGCATAATATATATCATTACAAATTTTTGTAAGAAATTGCACAAATTAGTAAGTTCAGTAGTCTGACGGTAGAACTACAAAACATTGCACTAATTTGTACAATTTTGTAAGTTAACTTTTTTACGGATCAGATACAGTCAATGTCATTAATGTTGTCCACTAAAAAAAGACATTTACACATTTAGACTAAAGAGAGCCTGAACTTTAAATGTAAAATTCAACTTGTGAATCGAAAATCCAGAATGCCCCGACCATTTAGCGAGGATTAAGATGGAGAATTGTACTTCAGCATTTGTTTTATGACAGAACGTTCGAGGAAACGTGATATTTCTTTTAGTCTAAATGTCTAAAAGTGTAAATGTGTAAATGTGTAAATGTCTTTTTTCGGTGGACAACGTTAATGACATTGACTGTATATGGTATGCTCTCTGTCACTCAAAACCATTGTTGTAAAAACTTGTATTATAGAGCTATTTGACAATGGATATTTTGGAAGTTGTCTGACAGTCTATTTTACTGTATTTCATGATGTAAAATTCAAATAAAATGCTTAGCAAATATTGATGCTTCTGGATATTTTTTTATTGAATACACTACTGCTATTACCAGTACAGGCTCTGGAAGTGCCTCTCTTATTCTCTGGGTCTATATGATAAAGGTATTAGGGGCACTGTCATAGACTAGTAATGGAACAAATTTGGGTAGTGGCAATCCTAGTTCAGATGCTGGCCTCTCCTTTGACTGCTATATTCTTGGGGGGCTGCCTTCATGAGCACAGGCAGCCCAAAAAAAAAAACACGATGCAAGAATAACAAGCTTGATTACTCTCCAATTTGATTTTATAACAACTTTACCTTTTCACCTAGTTACCCCTGAAGTTTAAAAACACAATTTTTGTTGTAGAAAAATCTACTCTTTTATCAAGTTTAATCCAAGTATGAAATTTTGAAAGTTTAAGATRTATTTGACACACATACTCAAAGGTAAAAAGTGAACTTACAAAACAAAATAGTAATAGTAACAAGTAGTTGGTAAATAAAAGTTTTTTTTAAAATTATTAACACAGTGGTTTTTCAAGGTCCTTCTAAACATACAGTTAGAACACAAAGGAAAAAACTTTGTTGCACCTGAAATTAAAAAAAAAAAAAAAAATCCATTAATCTTCTATTAAATAAACCACTTTATCATTGAATTATGCAAAGAACGCGCATGATATGGGAAAAGACCATGCCTGATATCAGACCATATCCTGCTCGTGATTGGGTATGATACAGTTTTGAGGGAGTTTGAGCATTTCTTTGCAGAATTAAATGATAAACAACTTATTAGTAGACTAAGCATCTGATACCGTTGTGCATTTTTACTCGTCACTTGCCTAAAGACTCGCCGAAATACTCTGTGACTTGTAAAAACACATAGCTGTATCAGATGCTTAGCAAACCGATAACCTCTATTTAATACTTAGCAAATTCTCTTTAGGAGTCAACACAATGAGAAAAACCAAAACATCAATTCTATGGAGCCCTGAAGCAACCTCTGAGTTAATCTAAGTCAGATCAAATTGAATTTAGCTTGTTGGACCTTTCGAAGGAGGGAGACTAGAGAGCCAAGATAGAGACCCAACTACARTTCCTYTACTCACATGTGATACCAAGTCCAGGAATCAAACCAAAGTCCAGGAATCGAACCCAAGACAACTTAGGTGACTGTCATTGAGGCTTGATTCCCTGCTTACTAAGTTGACACAATGGCTCCATTTAAAGGGGGGGTGTAAGTCCATAATGCGTGGTAGTGCCAATAGACCATTTCACAGATCCCACAGCTCAACCTCAGCCTCGTCAGCGTGTAATATATTCTTTAGAAATTGCCTACAACCTGTGAAATTTTTAAGTGTTTCAATTGTTCTTTGATGTGCAAATTCCTTTCATTACTGCAGACTGTAGTCAAATTCTAAAGAATAATTACATGCTGACGAGGCTGAGGTTGAGTAACAGGATCCGTGAAATGGCCAATTATGTGAATGATCAGTTTTTTTCAACGATACAGTTAATATACATTAAAATGCAAATTATGGTACGTACAGAGGTACTTACATGATTAACTTGATTCAAGTTCAGCTTCAATCTCCTTGGCTACCTTCTCAGCATCGTAATTCTTGTAAAATGCATCATACTTTCTTCTCTTGGGGTCAACATGAATAAACTTCCAGGCAAACCCTGCAACAACGCCCAATACTGATGCAACCATGATGTCTTTCTTCAGGTTACGTGCAACAATGCCACGTAATACTGGTGGAGCCATCTTCAGTCTAGTAAAGTCAAAAAATATCAACAGCAATGCCATAAGCCTTAATCTCCATTTGCTTGTTTGGTGTACAATTCACTGCTAAATGTGACTTATAATATGAAGTATATTCACTATAATAGCATCAACAGTAAAAATACTTCTCAAAAAAACATTCTTTCTAGCTTCTCAAAGGCCTCTAGGAAATATAGCTTAATGTTTTAAGTAGTTTTTAACAAATGATTTCTAACTACGTTTCGAAATATTCTTGGACAAATTTCAAACGTGTATGATAAAAACCCCATTTTTTCAGTCCAAATCAAGCTAAAGAGAGCTATAAACGATACTAAAATGTTCCATACAATCCCTAGTATTGTAAGGATGCTTAAATGAGCTTTAAAATATTATATAACGATAGAAAATAAGCAAAAGAACTCACCTTTTTGAGTTAATTTTTGCACTAAACTCTACAACTTGACCGGCAGTGAGGGATGCTAATGCGCGTGCTCCATTCGACACACCGCTGACCCGAATATTTTAAAAGATTTTTCCCATTTCTTTTCCCGTTTAACCCCAAAAAAGAAATTAAATAAAAAAATAGAAGGTCCAAAARATTCTTTATTACAATGCTTTAAACAAATAAACACAATTATCCCTCATATTATAATATTTTCGCCTTCCAGTTTAAGAACTTGACCTAAAAAAAAACCAATAGATATAAATTATGTATTTTTTCATACGATTTCCTTTATGCTATAACTCCAATTAATGTCTGCATGGCCAAGCTTTTGTTCTATATTTTAAAGTTGTTTTCGTACCTAGCTTGTAGATCCGCCTTGACCTTAGCTAACGTAGACTATTGATTCACTGCCATCTGTTCCGCCTCCATAAGTTTAGCTTCTTTTTCAGCGTCCAAGTTCTTGTAGTAGTCCTCGTATTTTCTCCTCTTTGGCTCAGCATATAAGTATCTCCAGCTAAATCCTGCTAAAAATGCAACTCCTATAGCTTGTGCGATATCAGTCATCATTCTACGGTGGACAATTCCTCGAAGTTGTGGCGCCATTCCTGGTCCCTCTAGATCTGTGAAGTCTAGTTTATCTAAAGAAAAGTAAAAAATATTATTATTGAAAAAAGACTTTACCACTAAAATTTAAAACTTTAAACTATATTAACGGTTGTGAACTTATAACGAAGAAAATGACCTCGTGTTTCGAAAATACTGTATCAAACTTGAACATGGAAGTCGGTCGTTCTCACTAAATACTCACACGCCTTCGCTGTCAGCAGAATCGCGAAGGCAGAACAATATAATACAGTTGATGTAGTGAATCCTTCTTTTTACACTTTTCACATTACTTTTGCCTTAGGAATTGATATTTTGTGAACAAATTTGAGTTCTTACCGATTGACAAAGAGAAAATAACTGCTTCAGATGCCTGTTTGACCGTCGTGCATAAATTAAAATTCGAGTCCAGACACTGCTGTGCTATTCACGGTAGCTACAAAACGTCAAGCGATAACCAATGACAGGAAAGAAAATCCGCCTCAAAAAACACAGATGAAGGACAAGGATAAGTATCTTGTCATGCTTGAGACATTTGGGGTGTCTTGTCAAAATAAAAATTCTTTGGGGACTCGAAAAATCGCCTGGGTCTATTTTTCCAAGAAAATTTGGAATTTACAGTAAATAAATATTTTGATATTGAGTTCTAATGGTTTCTTGGATAGACAAGAAACGGAAAGAGCAAATAACGAAACTATTGGGTAGGAACTGAGGAATGAAATATTCATGAAGGTCATCGCAGAAAATCGTGCAAGTTGTCACGCTCTCACTAAATATACTATTTTGTTCAACCTTGATGTTTAATAATGACTGAGAAAACAGCTAGTATAGTAACACGAACTTAAACTAGTCTAATAAAGTGCCATATCTATTCTGAGAAAATACTTATTGTCAAAATACTCATTTCCTCGTCACCAGGCTAACGCGGCTTTTCATCCGTTAATGCCTTCTTTGAGGATTTGTTTTGAGGTGAATGGAGGAGAGATTAGAAAAGTTATCGAAAGATTGATAAAGGAAATGTTTAAATCCAAGTGGATTGTAGAGTGATTTTTACTTGCCCCATGAAAAAAAGGCAAGCACGATACGTAATGATAGAATTAAAATTATCGACTCTAAAGTACTGTTACATTACTTTATTTACCCTTAGCTTCCTCTCTGAGGACTGGAACCGTACATTGGTACTAAACACAGGGATCCCGCACTCAACTTGAGTGATCAAGCACAAAACAATCCGAGTCGAGGCTCCGGGAAAACAATAGCGCAATCGTTATTATTCTTTTGATTCCCCGGAGCCTCGACTCAGGTTGTTTGGTGCTTGATCACTCAACCAGAATATCGAAAACTGGCTATTCCACAAAGCCCGAAGTTGGATTTCCTGTGTACCTAACTAGCTACTGCCGTTCTACTTTAACCGTGAACACTCGATTTTTTCAACCAATCAGATTACGGAACGAAAACAATAGAATTCGAGATACATGTATTGAAAGTCTATAAAAGCTGTTCAAGGAGATGAAAGATAAAAGAGAAAGAAAAAAAAAGTATATATACACAAATAAAAAATAAAATAAACTCGAGTGTTGACGGTATTAGAGTATAACGACAGCAAGAGATAGATACTAATAAAGTCTCTAGGTTATTCTTATCATACATTAACAAATCTACACAGGGCACATATTGATCTCCCCGAACGAATAGTTTAATTTATTATTCTTCCACACCTTTCCTCCTCTTAATGTATCTAGAATTTATATAATTTTATATCCATGGATAATTAATCATTTCTGGTGCTTCTTGACCACTGCTTGAACGAGCAGGGGCATAGAAGTACTGGGTCTAATACGTCCATTCAAAAAATGGACCTCGCTTTACGTCAATTGAGAATTCTTGCTGGTTGCCATTGGCAACCAAGCCTATGGCAAATACTTTAAGGTAACCCTATTGTAAGGGGCAGGTTGTTTTTTGGTATATCCTCTGGGAAAGGAATGCCTACCACAGCGTTAAGGCCACCTCATATTTATTTGTATAAATAGAGGAGGCCATGGGCCTAGCCAAGGATGCCACGGACCTAGCAAACCAAAATCTTGTTGCCTTACTCAAAAAAATGTTTACACATGAATCTGTGTTATGATAAAAAGCTATTACATAATATCAGCCAGTCTTAAAAAATATACAATAACACAAAACTAAAATATCCTTGAAGTAAATAAGCGACAGCGGGGAATGATGATCCGGGGTTAACTATGAGGTCAGTCTACAATAATCAGCTGAATATTCGATAAAATAAACTAAAATAGGGGACTTTGCTTTGTTGTACGATGCAGTTTGATTGCGTTAGAGCACGGCTGTGCTTTCTTAAATAATATACCACAACTCGGCCTGCTTTGTTGCATGATAGAGCACGAGTGTGCTTTGCTACACGATACTGAGGTATGTCTAGCGTTTGTACATGGTAACTTGACTTCTAAGATGACAGAGCACGGTTGTACTTATTTTAAATGGTAGAACTTGACTGCGCTTTGGAAGGTGATACAGCACAACTGCCGTGCGTATTTTACATGGTAAAGCTTGGCTGTGGCTTGTTACATGATTGAGCATTTCCCCCCTCGTCCACAAGCACATTTGACAGTTTTCTCATCAAGCTCGTCCATGCTCCACGCTCTCATTTCCATTTTCGATCCTTTGTGGGAGCTGAGATCGACATCTTCAAACGCCTCAGCACCTTGTTTCTCTTTTGACTGATTCTTTTTATTACTCCCAACGTCCTTTGCCTTAGTAGCTTTAGCAGCTTTAGAATCGTCAAATGTTTTGTTCTCAATTACGATAACCTCGGCGGGTTTTTCGGCTGTGTCTTCTGCTGTGATACTCTCTTTTGACTGTGACGTTTTTGACTGATAAAAATCAGCACCAAGAGAGGATTCAATTACAAACTTTGGCTTGTCGTGTTTGGACTTGCCTTTGGCTGCTGGTTTATTGGCAGGCTTGACTTGCGAGTCTTTTGTTTCCTCGGCTTCAAAAGGCTGGGTGCCAAACTTGTCTTTATCAATGACTTTCTTGGTATCATCCTCACTAGCTGTTTGCTCGAATGTGGTTTCTGGTTGCTCGCTATCAGGGCTTATTACTTTACGTTGACGGCTTCTTGAGCGCCTTGATTGCTGTTCGTACTGTCCAAGAGTATCAATAGCTGGCTTGTTTTCATCTGTAGGAGACTGCGCTTCAACGACATTTTCATTAGATTCTTGTGTTTTTTCTTCGACAGGTTTCTCTTCCTCAAAAACATCTTTCTTTCCTTCTTCTTTGAAAACATCTTGTTTCGGAGTTTCTTTAGGAACACCCTTCTCGTTTGTTACACCGGAGTCTTCTTTCTTTCCAAACGTTGAAAATAAAACAGCTTCTTTCTTCGCAGCTTCCTTTTTGTTATCCTCACAAACCTCACTCACGCTAGTCACCATCTCTTTAGCCTCCGGTCCCTTCTGGAAACTCAGTTTAGCAACTTCAGCTTTAGCTTCAACGTCTTTACGCTTAACAGCTTCTTCTTCGTTTGAAGGAACTTCGACGATAATAGATTCATTTCGTAGCAATTCCTCCATGCGTTTGGCTTCGGAGAAGATGTATTTGTCCATTGGTGAATCCGGATGCGCTTCCTCTTCTTTTTTTATCTCTTCGTTCTTGACGTCTTGCCGAGGAGGTGGCGGTGGAGCAACCTTACCACTTGGAGTAGAAGGCACAGTCGTAGCGGGAACACTTACATCTCCAAGGCCTTCGCTCGGTTTAGCTGAGATTTCCTCCTTGGGAGTTTCCATGCGCGTCTCTGCAGTTTTCTCTGCAGGTATTTCATTGGTTTTCTTGAACTTTTCTTCTGACAGTTTACGCGTGAGGATGCTACCAGGAAGTCCAGGTATTTTACTTTTTGGTACGCTTTCCGTGGGACTGAACTGTGGAATTTTAGATTCCGCGGTAGTGGAACTTGCCTTTCCTTCCGGTTTCGGAATGCCGGAAACTGGTGCACTTGTCTTGTCATCCGGTTTTGGAATTCCGAAAGCTAATTTTTCTGGTTTGGCATGCACTGTAGGTGGTGGTATCCCGCTATGTACACCAGGTTTGGCGTGGACTTTGGGTGCCGGAATGCCGCTATGTGCAGTTTCCGGTTTGGCATGGACCGTAGGTGGCGGAATGCCGCTATGTGCAGTTTCCGGTTTGGCATGCACTGCAGGTGGTTTGATGCCGCCATGTGCAGTTTCTGGTTTGGCATGGACTGCAGGTGGTGGAATGCCGCTATGTGTAGTTTCCGGTTTGGCATGCACTGCAGGTGGTTTGATGCCGCTATGTGCAGTTTCTGGTTTGGCGAGGACCGTAGGTGCCGGAATGCCGCTATGCCCGATTTCTGGTTTAGCGTGGACCGTAGGCGATGGGATCCCACTTAGTCCAAATCCAACGTTTTGAGGAATCTTAGACACAGGAGACACTACCTCGGGGGACTTGAGTTTACTTGGGCCATTGGTTTTTGAAAAAGAAGGAATCTTGCTTACCCCAGTTGACGGAATCCTGCTAGCGTGGACTTTCTCAGTAGCATTGCCATTAGAAACAGCCTCGTGTTCATCTGCAAAGACGTTATCAGTGTCATCGTCGGTGCCGGTAGACTTCAGGCTGTCCTGCCGAGGTATTTTTGACACACCTTTCGCAGAAGGTATACGACTAACTTTGATTTCATTCTTAACAGGTTTGATAGCTTCTTCCTCGCTGTCTTTTCGATTTATTCCAGGATCCTTGTTTTCTTTAGCGGAGTCCGGTCTTGGCGGACCGGGAAGTTTACTAGTCGATTTGTCACTTCGTGGTATTCCTGTTGGAATTTGAGATTTTTTCGCCTGTTCTTCCTTTTTGTCCGCCTTTCCGATCGATGGAATTTTACTCTTGGGAGGAATCTTGGACTGTGGAATAGAAGACGTCTTGGTGAAGGAGGGTATCTTTGAAGGAGGGTTCGTCCCTGCTGGAGTAGGAATCTTCGACATGTTTTCTTTGTGATCTAGAACCTTAGTTAAAGCTTCAGAATGACTTTCACAAGAGTTTATTGTATCAGTGCTACTACAAGGAGTAGTATTAGCAGTAGTTTTCTTCTTCAAAGTTATATCACTTTTCTGTCTTTTTCCTATACCAGGTGAGCGCCGAGGACTTACGACGTCACTCTTCTCTCGTCTTAAAGCACTTGGCGAAGCAGAACCCCTTGGTCTGACTAGGTCACTATTTTCTCTCAGCACCCCAAATGGCGGCTTTTGCGCGCGCCTAGGAGTAATATCACTTTTTTCCCGCTTTAGGGCCGAAGGTGAATGAGAACCTTTGGAGTTCGAAAAGAAAGTATTTTCTTTACGGTTTGTTGACGGTGAACAGGAGGTTCTAGGGCGTACAATTATATCGCTCTTTTCGCGCCTAAAACTATCAATAGGAGATCTCCCTTTGGTTGGGATCTCTGTGTTCTGATTACTCGCACCACGTGGTTTCACAGGCGATTTGTACTGAGCACTCGAGGATGACACAGACTCGATTGTTTTCCGAGGCGAAGAAAAACTAGAACTTCGCTTGACTTTTTTTTGTTCTTTCTGGATTTGCCCGTTAAGAGATTGCTCTTGTTGTTTGTCTTCGTTTAGTCCATTAATCGCTTTCCGCGGTTTTACCTCTGCTGCATCCGCGGCCGAACCCTTTTTCACAGAGATAAAAAGCGGATAACGATCACCGTTTGAGCTTCCAGAATCTTGTGAGTCTGTTAAGTTGTCTTCTTCTGTTCCCTCTACAGACTCCTTTGCGTTCGAACGAGGTGAAACAGGCCGATTTTTATTCGCTGTGTTCTGAGCACTGTTACTTTTTAAGCGAGACTCAGAGAGCTTCCTTTTTGAACTTGAATCCTTCGATTTTTGCTTTTCGGTTTTTGTTAATCCTGCATCACTGTTACTTCTTGCAGATTTACGAGTTGAGCTGGGTTTTTCCTTGCTTCGGAATATGCTAGGCTCTGTTGCTCTTAATCCGTAAGGGCTGTGACCTCCAAAGATAGCCGACGCGTTGTTGGGTTTGGCAGGTACGTTTGGGAGACTAGAAACAAAGCAAAATAACCAATTAGCATGAATCTGGTCAATTTTATTGATTTACTAGTGGGTACTGGAAACTCCCTCTCCCCGAAAAGCGATCAATATTGGACGTCTTTCTCTATCAAGATAGAAGGGGAAAAGTGCGGGATCATGCATTCAAATGGCTTCCACTCTGACCAATCAGAAAAGAGATCTTAATTGTCGACCAATCACGAGGCTTGCAGAGAAAGCCATTTAACGATAACGGTATGCACGATTACACTAAATGTACCGGAATTTCCAAACGAGGTTTCCGTATTCTATCAACCACTTCCGCCTGTCTATATCGATAACACATTAGGCAAAAAAAGACACTCGATATCATGGTAGACCTTACGTAACACAAAAGGACTGCATTTCAAAAATGGAAACAGAGCCGAAAGTTGAGGGAATATCCCGTATTGGATTTAATTTCAGACTTTCCGTTCAAAGAGCATTTCCCTTGTCAAATGACATTATCCTTGACATAAAAAATCACATGATTTTTTAACGATATTCATTTCTGGTAAGTCAGATGGCATAGTTTAACCTTTACAATAAGATAAACCTAAAATAATATAATTTTCTAAATCTAGGCAAGGTAAATACAATATTTGCAATCCTGGGGGCAAAACTGAACGCTTACTTTGATATCTTTTTTTTAAATTTCGAATTTCGACAAATCTTGACTTTCAGTGCTGAATTGCCTTATCAATTAAATCTCCGAATAAAATCATTATCCCGAAGTGAAATTACTCATTAAATATTAAATGTAAAACAACTTATAGGTAATAAAAATAAAAATAAGGAAGATAAAGCTAAAACTAAATAAAAAGTCTTTTAATTTAGATGACAATGATACTAGAATACTTGGCGTGAGGTTAGAAACTTTAATTTGATTTTGAAACATTAGAATTGGATCTGTTTACAGTATTCAAAAGCTTCCCGTAAGGCAAACAATAAGATAAGAATTCAATAAGYATATTATTGATTGTATTCTGTTTGTAAAATCAATAATTTGAGAATATATGGAAGGAATTAGTTACGTCTGTAAACTATACAACATTGATAAATTGGCTCGATATTTTATGCATACTCAAAAGATATTTTAAGACAAAAGCTTGAGCCTTTTTTAATCAAAACACAAAGACTATTCAAAAATGTCTTTTAGAAATAAGAATTAAAATAAGGTGGGCAGACGACAAAAGCCTTTCAAAATTGTACTATCTGCATCGCGCTTTGTCTAAACATCAAAGCATACCATGAGAGTGAGTCAATATATTTAACTTTTTTTTTTTGAGACTACCTTTTGTGACCTAAATTGCTGGAAATTTAGGAATAATACAAAAAGCTTTAGGTAAAATGTAACACTCTGGCTCGTTTAAATAATTTGTGTTGCAATGACAGAAAGAAAGGAATGCTTAAAACACAGAACCTTATACTATAACTAAACCATACGGGTTGTGTGGTCACGTTTAATTTATTAGGGGGGAAATAATGACGAGTAAAGAAATTCGACAAGTGACAGTAAATAATTTTTCCAAAAGAAACAAAACGCTACACAAAATGCTTCCGATTTTAGTGTATGATTTAGGGCCATAGGATCGTATTTTTCGGTCAAATTTATCAGAAAATTTACGTTTTTTAATCGAAAAGCTCGAATATTTATAAACAACTTGAATTTATTATGCCACAAGCGACAGCTACAAGTAAAGATGCTTTAGAGAAGAACTGAGCTATTTTAAATGTAGATGTCAGATTACTATCAAAAATCATGTGGTCTATATGACGAACGATTTCCAAATGCCAGCCATCGCCTACTTTTATACATTAAAAGCACAGTGTCAAAGGCATTATTTTGTATTATATATCATTATATTTATATTCCAAAGTATAAAGCATCGTAACACTTACGGTTCGGTAAATTTAGCCCAAAAGCTCGACATTACTTCCAAGCGATTTGAAAACTGAGATCCAACACGAGACAAGACACATTTGCTAGAGAAGCGGTTTCAAATGAATGATTCCTTAGTCATTTGAAGGCCGAGTCCAACGTCTCTTAGCTTTGTTTTATGGGCGACAAGAAATCTATTGGATTTCCCATGGTTTTCGTGCCAACTTAAACCACCGACCGATCGAATCCCAATAGCGAAAAATCATATATAATACTCCATTGATCACATATTAGGGCAGTAAGTACTCGAAATATTAAAAAAATCGATTTGAACCACGCCGTATTCCAATATTGTTTTGATTTGAGGAACGTTCGCTTGACTGCCTCGAATATTCTTCGACGAATCCAGACTTATTTACATAAATACACCAACGATATGCGACGGAAGGGCGAACGCCTGGCAACCGAGTCCAAATGGCTTAAAATAGGTTCATACAAACTGTATAGTTGACACACCTGGCTGTTAAATTATTAATCAGATAAAAACCTCCCTGCACTAGTGGGACAAACCAATCTTGAGCTTGCTAAATTATTGCTCAAATACAAGATTATTTTAAAATTATACGGGTGAACTTCGGTGCTATTTAAAAATGCGTTTGAAGTTTGCTCACTCTCTGTTTGTTGATAATATTATTGAAGCGATTGACAACTCCACAATACATGTCTCTACAAAGCTGTAAGCTCAATGGAGAACATGGCATTGTTTGCGGTCGGATGAAACTCACCATTGAATATTTTCTCAATATTATCGACAAGAATTGATTCAAACAAGCTCGATAGTCGTGGAAAATGATGAATGGAAAAGCCAGAGACGAACAAATTCGCTCAGTCGCGCTCAGTCTTGGAAAACATTATTAGGCTGTTGGTTTTAATATATGCAGTCTGCCTTGAATGAGAAAAGTTTAGTTGCATGGTAAAGTGATTGTGACTAATGCTGGGTCACATGTATGATTAACGAGTACAGAATGACTGAAAGCATTGATAAATTACGGTAACTGTGTATGGCTTGGCTGGTTCCTTCGCCAGTCGTCTTGTTGTTTGTTTAAAAGCTATGGACAACGAATGTGTGACATTTTTTCAGTTATCGAAAGTCGAAGGAAGCGCAAGTAATAAATTCTAGCTTGGTTTTCGACCGAAAGAGATGTACTTTTTCCATGAGAAAGCCTTGTTGTTTCGATCTATTGTTATGTATAGAGCCTATTCAACGCACAATTGAGGACAGACGATACTAAAACAAGTTCAATATTTCGACTACAAAAAAATACTCAAATAACTCTAAATCCCTGTTCTGTTAGCTTTACATTAACTAATCGTCAGAGTATGACTAGTCTTATTTTTTAACTTTCGGGTAGAGCAGAATAACCGCAAACAGTCGCTCAAAAAGCTCCCAATCTTCGATCAAGCTGTATTGAATTGAGCCTGCTTTCACCGCACAACGAAAAACACTGTAAACAACAATGACGATCATATAGAGAGACTTACCTGTTAACGTCCTAAAATTCACTACCAAGCCAACAGATAATACGAGCAATGTAAATACAGCCACAGGTATATCTCCTTAACGATTACAACGCCATTATAAGCTCTGATTTTATACGAAGCGAACTCCAGTCTGATCGAAAATGTCCTCCATTCAAACAAATATTAAAGAGGACCGCTGGCTTTTCGCATTGTGATGAACAGTCCATGGCGTCATTCAGCTGAAGAAACAGGGTTTGTCGGCCAATCACGATAGAGATTTCTTATAGAAGTAAACATTGTTTGATAAAAATCTCTTAAAGTTTATATTTTTGTGTGAATAAGTTTGAGGTACTTTAAATCTATCTTTATTACTGAAGGCAACCCTTTTAAAAATCATCAACAAATTAAGAAGAAGAAAAAATTAAAAACCGTACGTCTCCCATTTTATTTCATTTTACACTCATTCTTTCATGTATTTATCTTACTAGAAATTCTTTCTAAATTTTATGCCTCAGAATCTCGTTCATAATCGCCTCCTTTAGTGATACTAAAAAACATTATTTTCTGGCCTAACGAAAATTACAAAAAAAGGTGAAAAATATATGCGCGATTTGCTTCTCGTGAGTACAGTCACACGGAGGGGAAACCGCAAAATGCGGGGTGTCAATGATTCCCTGTGTGAAAKTCCTGTTCGATCTTTTGACGTTAAAAATTACTCAAAAACTAAAGCAGAATCAAGTTTTTTTTWAATTATCTCAAAGAATATAAACTATTGTCCCACCCATTTCCGCCCACTAGACTTTTTTACTCAGTTTTTTTCGTGTGAAAAATCTATTAGTTTTTTTAATGAGGATTTTTTTTCAAGTGATGGCGCGATAGACACAGCTTTATGGAATAAATGGCGAATCAATCAATATGCTAGGTTACACTTCTCAGTTGAGTACTGTGTTTGTGTTGTCATCAAATACGTACTCCAATAGGCGTCAATAGCGCATGCCTCGCCTTTCCGTATAAAGATGAATACCCTATTATAGTATTTTCATATATGTACCCAGGAAAAAATTTTTACTTTTGCATAAGATTCTATTCATTTCATCTCCTTTTCTGTATTTTTTCTTTCAGTCTATTCGCTGACATTTCTCTAACACGTTTTCTGATTCTCTTCGCTTTCTTTTCAGCGTTTCATTGTCCTTTCCTTTCTCAAGTTTTCTTCTTTCTTTTCTATCTTTTTTCTTTTCTTCTTCTTTTCTTCTTTCCCTTTCACTTCATCCTTCTCTTTTCTTTCCCATTTCTTCGAATGTTTTCTCTCCATTAAATATTCTAATCACTCTACTTTTATCCCGAAAATGCCAAAAAATTACAGCAAGTTATCGACGTACATTTTAAAAGGGCGATAAGTGACTAGAGTGAACTCCACAGAGACTTCCCTTCTACCCCACTCACCCCATACCCCCCCCCNCCCCCCCGCTCTCCCTCCCAATCACTGAAGAACTTACGTGTTGTATGCATGTGACATATATCGATGACATAATTTTATTTACTAGTGACAGTGGCCAAAGTTGCCAAGCAACAAGCTGAGATGATTATGAAGCGTTTTAGTGATATTACTTCCCGTTTCATTGATAACCCTTAAAAATGAAGTACAATGAAATTTTTTTTCGCATGAATTCCGAATCGAAAATCTGAGTTTTTTTCGTTTAAGTTAAAACGATCAAAATCATCCTTTTTCTGGAACGAAATTCTACAGACGTATATGATTTACATAATGTCATTTTGTGAAGATCAAAGGTGTAGGCCACAAAATGCAAATCTTTGGATTTATGGGTTTGTCATCTGTTTAATAACCTGTGTAACAAATGGCAGACTCAGTGTAGATCGAAACAAAGAGACGAAACAGAAAATATTCCCTTTGAGCAACTAATATCGTTCCAAACAAGGCATTAATCATAAGAATACCTCAAGAATAAAATAGTAATAATAATTAAAATAGTAATGAGCCTTTTTTGAATGAAACTTTATCTGTCAACTATGATGTAAACATCGGCTAGGCTTTCAAGCTTGGGTAAATTAATGTATTTGAAAAAAGCTAACCCCAGTGAATAAGAGTCACTTTTTCTTATTTCCAGGCTTCACTCAACTTTCTTTTATTCTTTTTTCATTTCTTCGACTTTAGTAACATTTCTATGACATCAATGTCCATAGAGCGAGAGCCGGCAATTCTAAATCGTCAAACGATGCTCGCTCACTAAGTTCCGTGATCTTATTCATCTCAGTGGGATATTTTAGCTGCATGTTTGTCATCGAAAAACAGTTCTTCAATCATCATAAAACTGTTGTTAAATTTCATGTTGTTTTTTCAACAATTTCAACCATTTTATCAAATATTCTGCAGTAAAAGAAGTTGAATTTTCATCATTCCTATCAAGCGAAGATGACTTCTTGTGTATAAATTCAGTYGCTTTTTTGTCAGGTTATGAAACATTTTACGACAGAATAACCACAAATTTTAATTATTCCTACATATACCCAGCAAGTTTGATATATATTGAATTCAAAACTTGTTTACTGTAGTATTTTTAGTTTTCTTCGGGTTCAATGCCTAGCTTCAATATCTTAGTAGATATTTTGTGCTCAAGACCGCCTTCTAAGAAGGCTCATTTCGTACATGATGTCAAATATGAATTACAATAAAACTATTTGACAAGAAAAAAGGGTTTTCGCGACGTCGGTTGTTATTTTAGTAATTATTGCAGTTCAAAAAGTATTAAATATATAATTCAAGCCAACGAAGAAACCAAGACATTTTTTATCTGAATAAAATGATTATATAGTTTTATCTAAGTTACCAACGAAGGAGCAGAATACCGAAAATAACATGATCATGCTATACACATCGAATTGTCATTTACCTTCTACAGTCCTCAAACCATAGACTGGCCATAGCCTAAGTCGCCATTACACGCTAGATTTTCAGCGCTTACACCTCTCTCCTCCCTCAAAGATTCAAGAAATCCAGTTCTTCAAAAACAGCTCGTTTTGGAGCGTTTGTTTTCAAGTATTCTTCGGGAGTGAGGATCGCCAACGCTCAGGTTTCAGAAGGAGAACAGGTGTCGTGACGACATAGATCTTAAAATATGCTAAACCCGTAGAAAAACTAACTACGGCTGGCGTCTCCAGATAGATTAACAATATATTCTATCTTCTTTGTGATTGGATGTCGGTATATACAATTAATAAAAACCCTTTATTAAGACAGTATAAAATCAACTAAGTTACTTTTAGCCTAACATAATCAGCGCACGGCACGGCGTACAAAAAATTAGCGAGTTACATTTGATTTAAAGTTACGGACATTCCATCCAACTTGATCTACATTTCAAGGGCTATAATTTCAAAAGCAACATATTGTGTCGTCTTAGTTACATATAATGATTATCAGATTTTAATTCCGTGCCGTGTCCTCTGATCTTAAAAAACAAATTTCCTTTGTATTTACAGTATTTACAGCCAATTTTCCAAAGTCTGACAARACTAGGGTACTAAATGTGGGAAAGGCATGTCCTAATTTTCGCCATATTGTTGTTATGTGCGGCTGTTTTTACCTTTCTTTTACTTGTTATCGTTTTACCATGGTAAGCATACTCATTGCTATAGCAGTAACAAATTTATTCTAAGAGAACTTTTAGACTAGTCGTTGCATAATGATATTGCAAGTAAAGTGCTGGGAGTACGTATATGTGATTAAGATGAGTATTTAATGTACTAATTAATTGACGAAAGTGTTAAATTTAGCACATTTCCCGTTGGGGGGGGGGGGGGGATTTTGTACTTCAAACCCCGGCTACCACGACCCCAGTATTCTAATTACCATACATCAAGAGTCCCGCGCTACTGCTCTAAGCGCATGCGATCAAGGGGTCAAAAAGTGGGATTGTGAATTGTACAAACTGCTATATTTTGATACGTTTGATTTGGAATTAGCTTAGAGCTATTTGCTCTTGAATATTTAATGAAAAGTTTGCTTGATGATGTAGACTGACTTGATCAATACACCCAAACATCCACTCAAGGACCTTTTACCTCCAAAGAAAACACGCAGTCTCAGAAAGAGAAATCATGAATTTGTACTACCTAAAGTTAAAACCGTAAGGTTTAAGAATAGTTT